CCTTCGTGTTATTTTATGAGAACACTCTATAGTGGCTTCAGTAATTTGTAAATTTTTGCTTAAGCTTTTATAAAGAAACCTGATGCTGAATAGAAAATGTAGCAATGTCTAACTCCGGTACCTTATGGTTTTTGCATCATTTCCTCTTGCATCCTAAGTGTGCGGTGTGCCGTATTATCTTGTCCCACTCATGGGATGATTTTATATCGGGATACGGGCTGTGAACTTGTGCATAGTTATTACTGTTTTTCTTTTGTCTTTCTATATATGTGCGGCAATGTGCACTGGATTGATACTAGGTTATTAGCATGCTGGTATGTGTGGTCCACTTTTGTATGCGACCAAAAACGTAAAACATTCAAGTTGTATATGTACTGCATAAACCGTACGTTTAGGCAATAAAACATTCAAACAAACTCTGCTCTTTATTCTTGTCTAATTTATGTGTGCACGTAAACGAAAACAACGTCTTACTTGGAATAAGTAGTGCACAAATAGGTGGATGGGCAGACCATCAATCAGAACGCAATGATGGCCGTTTTCATCATGTGGCGGGTTGCGCAACAGGAAGAAGGTCGCCTGCTCGCCATCTGAATACCTTCCACTCGCTCAATTTGGCTTGCTGGTGCATCCCAATTGAATTTGGCGCTAAATCCCCCCCCTCGCCACTCGGATCCTCAGTCCTCATCAAGATGGCGTATCCCAGTGCATGTCTGCAATGCGCCGCCATGTTTTCGTACCGCCCCCAAACACCAGGCGTTCGTCCGGCGCTGCGAGCGAATATCGCGTTCCATGGAGGGTATAGGAAGTTTCACTCCCCTGATCGTACTCTAAATGGTCGAACAATTGTTCTAAACACTCCTACCCTAAATCGTTACATATTTGTTCTAAACCTCCATTTCACATTGTGTAGGGGGCCGATTAATGCTTTCCCAGAGTCATCTGCTTGGGGTACTCAAATGCCTTTTTTGGGATGCCAGAGCGGATGAGTCCAGTGATGCTGCACTATTTTTCGGCTCATAGTACGACACCGCCGTCGCCACCCCGACCACGGTCGCTACAAAAGCCGCGGCGGGAAAGTGAGCACGGGTATCATCTTCCAAAGCGTGCGCTAGTTGCCGGTAAAGGGAGCAATCGAATCTGGTGGGCGATTGTTCGAGTGTCCCCCGACAGCGTGAAAGCCATAGCCTAACGATCTGCACTGTGGGACAACCCTTTCGTCTAATAACTTGTTGCAGTTTAACAAAAACCGCCCTGTCATCGTCTCATCCCTCGTGCTCTGGCCTTGCTGCCATAGGCCAGCTAAAAATGTGTAGCTCACCCAAGAAGTATATTTTGCCCTTAGAGCTCACTCCAACATATTGGTGTTTTTTTTTTTTTTTCAACCAGACTCACCTGGACTCGCGGCTTCATGAGACTGATCGAGTCGACCAGCGATTGAGTTTGCAGACCTATGCGTGCAAGTCCCGCGTTAGAAACACCCAGGCTGAGCTGTCTAGAGCCAGCTCGGCCTGTTCCTTTGGAATAACCTTTGGAACACTGGCGTCAACGAAGGGCTAATTCGTTTGTACGGGCCAGTGAAACGCCAGCGTCGGGAGTAGGGCAAGGGATATACGGGACAGATATATTAATACATGGGAGTTCATTTCTCAAACACACTATACGATTATGAGGGGCGCGTAGTAAAGGGTTCCGGAAATTTTGACAATCCAGTGTTCCTTAATGTGTCCTCGCATCGCACTCCATCGAAATGCGACCGCTACCGGGAATGAACCCGTTACCTTCAGGCCATCAGCCGAGCACCCTAGCCACTGATCCACCGAGGCAAACTACGAAAGAGAGAAGCTGAGGCGAAATGTCTGCACTTGTAGCAGCAAATATGAAAACAGTGGAAAGAAAACAATCGAAGAGCAATTAGATAATTGCAAGGCGATAGAGATAACCACGAGAAATTCAAGGAAAAGGGATTAGATATAACACGATGCCACTAAAATAGCATTTCTCACTGGCGTTCTTTCGCTCTTGCTTCATTCTGTTTACGCCCGCCAATGCAAAGCTCGCCACAGCATTCGAGAAGCCTCACCATTCTGGTAGATCGTTTTGTTTACATCGCGTGCCAGACGCGAACACTCGAGCTCATTTCAGAGCAAGGTGTAGAGAGAAAGAGAAAAACTCTATTGTTTATATAGTATATACAGGGAGTAGGAGGAAGATGGCCCGGTACACATATGCTAGGTGGGCTCCTCATTACAGAAGTTCATTAGCAGCCAACGCGACTCGGACTCGGATGACCAGGGACTCCTCGCTCGCCAGGTCGGAACAGCCGAGCAGGCCTGCCTCCAACTTTATTGGGTGTGGTGACGTGAGTGCGGAAACACACGATAGTCGAGCCTGCACTGAGGAGCCTCCCCGCTTTCGCCAAATAGAAAGGCAAAGGCTTCTTCGGAGATTCTACCCTAATCGCAGTTTCTTACTGTATCCTGGGTGTCGCACAGGACCACTTCACATTTCTGGCCTTTCAGGACCAGTGGGATGGCTACTCTGTTGGGTATAATCCGATGATGATGGCCTTGGGTGTTTCGCTGCGTTGACGAGCCCCTCGACTACAACTGAGGCACAGGAGCGGTAGTTTTCGTAGCATCAAATACAAAACAAGTCAACTTTGCGAAGTAGGAAGGCACTGATTACGTCATTATTGGTTATTTTTCTGAGGAGACAATACGCGCTACACACCTGTTAGTGATACGGTGTCTGATGGCAAAGATGGATTACGGCCGAACATTTTGCAATGAAGTGCAAGTTTGAATGACCTACTCATCATGCAATTCGAATACTGCTACGTCTGGCGGTTATTTTGCTCTTCTAAAACGCCACATTTCACATGTTAACCCGATTACTTACCCAACATTAAGCCTGTATAGGGCCCGTTTTTATGGAAGTTTCTCGCACCAGCAGGACTCTGTGGCAGAATAGTCAGTTTCCGCGCGGAGTGTCTGCATCTAATCACATTTTATAATAAATATATACTCCTAATATATGTGCTGATAAGCCATCTCGGTGAGCCATGATATTCGTAGAAGCAACGCACTAATGGAAAAAAATCACAAACACATACAGCGATAGTGCGCGTCATTCATGTGTGCGTGATTGTATACTTTTGTGCGCTGCTCCATCAAAAATCATCTTTTTTTTTCTCATTTTTCATGTCGAGCGATAGCGGTTGAACACACCGATGGTCACGGTGGTGGACAACTATGATGCGAAAAATGGCTGTTGTCATCTCACAACCGTTTTCATTGTAATATTTTAAAGAGGCTGTGCAGGCGCCGATATTTTTTATGGCAATGGTTTCCGCTCTCGCGGCCGGTATTTAACTCGCGCTATACGCTTGTGCGGAGAATTCAGTGGTGAATTCGCCTTGAACATGAGTTCGCCTTGTCTCGCGTTATCCTATCTAGTGAATACTACAAGCATCGGCGCAGGTTGTTGGCTGCAATATGCGCATGCGCTAGCCCTCTAAAGGACGGCAACAATCCACCTCTGCCCACGCTTTAAAAAATGGAGTACAAGAATGCATTTTCCTTGAAGTAGCTCAGTTATGCTGCAGTATTTAAAGCTGCAGATTTGCGACTTATTATACCTGATGGAAACCAGCAAGGACACTGAAGTGAGCACACACAGCAGAGGCCCTGTTGGCCTTTCATATCTGTCATATTTCATAGGCCATTTTAGCCTGTCAAATATCGGGCTGTAATAACCAGGAAGGAAGAGGGTGAGCCCTTGCGGAAAGAGACTTGTCAAGAGGGGCGAGAGTGAGGCTCAGCGAGAGAATCCATCTGTTTTGTGAAAAGAAGCTCAGTGTGTCTCAGTGGAGATAGAGTAGGGCATTGTTTCTTTGAGAGTTTGAAACTTCATTACGGTCAACACGTGTTTCGAGAGCGAGGACACCTGACGTGATCTTCAGCGGGAACTGACGCGGGATCGGCCATGTTGCCGCCCAGCAAACCTCACGCAGGACACTCAAGCTAAGCACGAATGGATGGAAGGTATGGGAAAATATATAAAATTATGATGGAAGGGAATCGGCCTTTTTGTTTTGACAGTGTTTTTGTTTGACAGTGCGCTGGCTGGATTCTTTTTTAGGCTCAGTAGAGCACGCGCTTCAAAATGAAATTCGTTTTATGCACGGAACGTAGGAAGGAGTAGACACTTACACGATGATGAAGCCTGCGCTTCAGCAACGAAATTTCAGTTTATTTCAATTTAAATTTTTATTTAACTTTCATTTCCGGCAGTTTAATTTGTGCGCCACGGATACGCGGGTAGCCGTACCTTATGTATCCAAGAGCTTATTTCGTACCAGATTTCTGCTTCACTTTAATAATTGCAATAAGAGTTGTGAAGTCGAATTCTAAAGCTATCTCATGAAAACTTCATGAACTGCTAATAAACGTGTAACACGTGCTTTTCCTTGGACATATCAACAGATGGCTTGTCTCGCAATAAAATGTGTTGTTTTAAGCCAGGATTTTTTTGCTTCGAAGTGTTCTCTAGGTTTTCATACTACCTGCCGATTAGAAGGGCTTAGAAATTAACGAAATTATTTCAATGTATTAGTGCAGAATTGTTAACGCATGATATACTGTGACCAATTTGATGCTTTCGCTCAGGATTGTACCTTGAACTAGCAGGATACTTCTCATGCAAACCCTTCAAATACTTAGAGGAACATAACAGAGTATATGGATAACACACTCGCCTCAGTAGCAGGTTTCCGATTCTTGTTGAGGGGCGGCTTACTGCTCTCCCATAGTTTAGTACCAAGTACTCAAAATCGCGGAACATTTTTTTTTCTAAACACACAAGTGTGAGTGAGACCCATGAGACTGCTTGAAGTTCTCCCATAGTAGAGTACCTATTACTCTGACTCGTTACCCATTTTTTTTCTAAACACTCTACTCAGAAAATCAACTCCATCAAATACACATTTGACAACTAACTTGTTTTCAAATATTTTAATATATTTACAATATCAATAAATGGCATGCTGTTTCGAAATCACGTCTCAGAGAAAGGGCATGTGCAAGTTTCACGCAAAAATTGGCGCTTGTCAGAGGCTCAGTAAAAATAGGATATACAGTAAAGCACATATACACACTGTACAAATATAATGCGATGACTTTGTTCATTTTTGTGGCAAGTAGTAAAATCGCAATAACATTGCTCGGACGCCGCTGTTGCCAAAAAATAAAGCGAAGAAGACTGCTGATAATGTAAGCGGGCCCAATTTTTAAAAACATAATTAAGGCACGCTGTGGAATAGCTGTAAACAGCTGCGAAATACACACGACGCCTATTACGTGAATATGACAACATCAGCATGATACATGAACTTTCACCAAAACATTTGAACTCGTGAGCGTACATGACACATTTCAGTGAATACTTATTTAAAAGTTCGATTCATATTTCGGACCGGTGTTCTGCCAGTCCTATTCCTAGACCCTATTTACATCTTATGCAATAAAGTCGACCAGCTTTCGTAAAAATATTGAAAACGAATAGTCTGCTATGCTTATATTTTTTCATGAAAGCTAATCACTACACCCCACCTATTCATCGTGTTCGGAATAATCGCCTTGCTTTGTCTCATGTCAGAATAAATACTTTGAGCAAGAAAATTCTAAATCTCTCTTTGGTACGACTGTATGGCTACGCCCGAGTAAACGTTAGTTATAATTTTTACCGAATTCTATGCGCGTTACCGATGAACTCTCAAGGTTTTTGTATTTAGCTAATTCAATGGATGATCCGTGCCGTTGCATAAGGAAGTTCCTGGGCAACTAATGCCAAGGGACCATGAGCCATCATGGGCATCGGGGGCAGTTGACTGAAGCAGGGCGTGATAATAATAAAAACTCGCTCAAGGTGCTCAATACCTGTGAGACAATCATGTGTAAATGAATTAGTTGTTACAGCGTACGCTGATTTCATCCTGCATGCATATAAGTGCCGTCAACAGCTTTGCATAAATCAGCGTTGTGACGGATCACGTAAATAAGATGTCGGTGCACACCAGTGTGCACGCCGTCAATATTATTCGTCACGCTGAAGAGACTGGCCAGGAGAAGTGTCGTCAGTGTATCGAGCGCTTGAGTATTGCGCTCATCGTTCAGGTGTCGCGTGGGCAGATCTGCTCGAAGACGTCGAGGCGTCGGTACGGCATGTCCCTCCAGCGATAGTTCCAGCGCCTTCGGAAGTCGGGTTCCAGCGGTGCGTCCAGCAGGCCTGGCTCAAGGGTTACGGGAGGGATGTCAGACTCGTCGCGCTTCCAGGGGCCAAGATTCCAGCGAGGGTCCAGGGACTACACGTTTGATAGCGAGGCATATTGTCACAAGGTAGTGCGAGTAAGGACGTCGACATTCACGTTGACAGAGAAAACCATTGTGGTAGCCTATGCACAGACGCTAGATCAAAGTACTATCCTGAGCAACATGACAGAAAAAAACAGGAGCACATTGAAAATGCCCTGAACTCCCACTGTGATTGATAGTCGGATGGCACCATCAAAAATAAAGTTCAATGGGCGACGCTTCTCCACAAACTTGCCACTCCGACCAGTCGTCTGTTTTGACGGGAGAGCGTTAAAGAACTCGTTTCACGGAAGTTTAGGTGTCGACGTATAGTTAGCGAAAAATCACTGCTGTGCGCAAGTGAAAATCAGAGACAAGTGAAGAACGAAAATTGGGGGACCCTTAATAGCTGAACGCGACAGCGGAATCCGGCTGCTAGTGCATCCTTCAACCGCTAAGTGCATACTTTTAAATATGTTTTGTTACAAACACACGCACGCACGCACACAAACACGCACACAGTAGATTGGACCAGCGCGCGCTATTATCGCCGAATGGGTTCGTTTTCGTCGTGACACCTGTCGAACAAAATGCGTTAGAGGGGCCCCGAAACTTTTTCAAGTAACCATAAAATGAATTCACTAGTAGAACCTATTGCCTCACGAATTCAACGCCGCAAAAATTTTAAGACACCGTCCAGTGCGAGTGGAGTTACAAAAGGTTTGTCGCATGCTGCAATTGCATTATCTCTTCTCACGTCCTGACGAAAGCGCTGAAGCTAAGCAGAGAGGGGTGGCAGGACAAAAAAAAAAACTAGCGCGCCTCGTGATCTTGAGCACTTTTTTTTTCTTCTAACTCGCGGCCTTCTCAGTGTGATCGCGCGCGCACGCATGGACAAGTAGCGGCCTCCCGCGGCTCTCTCGGTAACTTGATTTTTCGGTCACAGATGCACAGACGCTTTTTCACTCAACCTACGGGACCGACGCCGGCGGCGGATTTTCTGCGACTCGAGCTCTCTAAAGCGATCGCGTTAAAACATTCGGTTTGAGAGCGCATTGAACCCAGGGCTTCTACGAAACCAGGGGGTGTTAAAAAAAAAAACACGGACCCACGCCCGTCCAAGGGGTACTGTAAAGTCGAGGCAACTCGGGCAGCTCTGCTTGCCGTACACGCTACCAAGCTCGTATGCCGAACATTGGGTGATAAGAGTTAACATACATATCGTGAGGCACACCTTTATGTGTGATAGGCATTTTCTTCATGCTCAAAAAATGTCGCACAAGTATGCTTTCAGGCTCGAAATGCACTGGGATTTATGTGTTTAAGAGAAGTAGCGATTTCGAGTACGTCGTATTTAACTATGGGAGAGCAGTGAGCCGTCGCGATAACAATAAAAAAAAACTTACAAGCCGCAATGTACCCAACAGCCGACTCTTGTGCCACAAGCTTTCCTACAATAAGAATGAATTGTCATGCTATTGGCAATTAAAACCTGCTCTAATATACCGATTACATGGCAGCATAGCTGTTGTACGAAACTTTACGCTCCTTTGTGCACTATCTTGCAGGTTACCACCTCATGATTATCTGACATGTGCTACTCAGTTTATCTAGCCTTCATTTATAGCCTTTCTTTGCGCCTATTATATTTCTGAACAGTGATTTGTCTCGAAGTTATAGAAGCTGAAAATGAATACCTGGCTCTGTTGCTGCGTTGGCACAGCTGAATTTCATGAAGGCACTATATGCGCGCCCGCCTTCCTTGGCCTTGAAAAAAGGGACGCACAAAGTTTTCTCTCGCTCTCTACTGCGATACTTAAATACCACACATAGTAATGTACAAAACATTTCCGTTTTGTTTTTTTTTTTGCAAAGAACTACGAAGGCTTACTTCATAGAAACACGGAAGTTCACCCAGTTTTCACTTTTCAGCCAGAGAGTGGTGAAGATTGGGGACAACGGTGCTTGATTGATTTGATATGTCGGGTTTAACGTCCCAAAAGGGACAACAGTGCTGGACAGTAGCCATAATATATGATTTTAGATACTATTTGAGATGTTGTTTGGGTATTGCATCTAAATCGTGACAAGTTTACCAAAACGTGTGTGAATACCTGTATTTCCGATACATTGAATATAGCATAGTTTATTTAACTCAAAAGACTGTTACCACACCACCAACATGGGAAATAAACGTTGGATTGAACTTCGCTTCTCAAACTGATACTGCTGCCTTAAGTCAGCAGAATAAAACATTGCTATATATTTCTACCAGAGTTTTCTAGCAAGAATAGACGAATGCAGTCTCTAGAATATAGATTATAGAGGACGAGCTATGACCACCCCTGTTGGGGGAGACAGTTATGTGGTGACGCTCGCATTCTCTTGTCAGATAAGCGCGAACGAGTTTATTTTTTTTTTCTTTTAGATAGGCGACCTCCTGTTGTATCGACCTTTTTTCTCTCTAGGTGCAGTGAAACCACGACCCTTGGAATTAGCCATTGCCCTGCACTGAATACTCCAATGCACGCGGCTCCTTTCGCACACATTCTGATCCCGCTGTAGTGTCATTAAAATTGCTCTTGCGTGGTGCTATGTTGAGATATCTGCACAATGCAAGAATGGGACTTGCCTTGTGTCTTATGGTTTTAACAGATCAGTGATTTGAAGGATCTCAATCTGTGTAAACAGCTCTCACGAGGTGTTTTATGGAATTAATTTCCACAGGCACTCACTTTGTCCTAGGTATTCGGGGTTACCTACTTCGATGTCCTTATGAGGTCGTGATGCATGACTGCTGACCCCATGGTAGGAGGGAGAGGGGGGGGGGCTATTTTGATTGAGGGAAAATGCTTAATGCCACTGTGCTTATACAGAGCGTTTAGAACCCCAGGTGGCCAAAATTTTTAATTCCTCCATTGGAGCGTCTCACAACGTCATTGTTAATTTGGATGTAAACTGCAACAGTAACTAGCTCTTAGGGATGGTGCATGTACCGCGTTCCTATACTTATTCGCGGAGCTTAATACAAAACCGCTAATCTAGTTTATTTAGGGAGTTGTGTTCCTTGTTTTGGATTCCCTAAATTTTCATAATTACTAATCAAAAGGTCATTGCAGCTAGAAGTGCCAATAGTGAAAACACTGGTATTCTGTGGTTCATTGGGCATCTGTACCATACCTTCAGAACGAATCTGAGCTGCGCATGTTCCAGATGGCGTACACCTGTCCAGTAGTCCGTCATTGCGTAAACCACAATATGCTTACGGGCAAGGTAGGATTTGCGCCATCATGCGGATGCTTTTAATTGAAGTTGTTAAGATTAGGTGGCAACATACCTGCTGGCCGACAAGCAGAGCAGCGACACCCACCAACCGCAATAGCGACAAGCAAGATCTATCAGACGCGAAATGTTTAAAGTGCAGTCATGCTAAGCATTTAAAGGGACATAAATTATTTTGCAGCGAATCTAATGACATAAGTGAAAATTACAAGGCTTTTGAGATTCCAACACACATTTCATACATAAAAACGAAACCAGTCATAAATAATACATTTTCAAGTAAACATTTCTTGTGCTTATTTAGGTGTTAAGTGTTGCAATAAATAAGTAAATAATGATAAATTTGCAAGTGTAGTGCAGTGTCTTAGGATACAACTAGAATGTATCATATCAGGTACATTCTGTGTTGATAGTGTTGTGTCTGTATCTCCAATAGTTTTTACGTGAGCATCTTTTATCGTAACACAATACAATTTTTAAGTACTTTTGCCGAGCCCTGGTGAACAAGGGATGCCAATTAGCAGTTCAGGGTGCTTATCACTATAATTACTATTAGAGTTCACCATTTCACACTCTACTGTGCTCTTATGCCGACACAATTCAGCCTTGATGTGTGCGATGTACCACAGTATACTCCTGTAATAGCGCCGCTTTTGCCCCCCTTTCCCATGCTTTTCTTCAAACTCTAAACACCTGCTGCTTAAGTCAACCACTGCTCAGTTATTACGTACCACTGCCCTGGTAATACCTAGTAAATACCTTCATTCACTTCAATGCAGATCCCGTCAAAAGTACAAGCTTTTCACTGGTCGTGATAGAACCATTTTCTTGAAGCTTCCTTAAGCATAGAAGCCGGAGCGCATTTATGAACATTCATATTTGGAAATGCGCGCGACGCCATGTGGCAAGAGTAAAGTATACAGGACAGGCACAAGCTAAAAACTAGAGTTTCTCAAAATACGAAACGATAGAAAGAGCTAGCTAGTTGCGAAAAAGAACACGGGACAAAGCTAGCTCTGCATTCCTGCTTCAGGTATTAAAATCTAGTTCAAGGATATTGCTCTTACATTGAGTTTTTTATAGGGAATCGGCTTCAAGGCACAATAGGTAGTAATAGAATGATGTTGATTGAACAAAGAAAAAAAGCTTATGCAACTAGACGAAAATATTAGAGCATGAAACAGACTTGCACACAGAAAGTACCCGATAGATACGTATCGATATGAAACAGAAGTATGGCATTTGCGTGTCAAGTAAGATGCGAGAAAAAAAAAAGCGGTGCAATCTTGGTTTTGAACGTGTAGAAGATAGGTTTCTTAAAAGACGTGAACGGAAGAGCTTTCTTCAAATAATGACATTTCAGGTCACAACCTCGAACAAGATCTCGAATAGCTGTCACCTGTCAAATTACAGAAGTAATTCGGTACGTCTTCGTCATGGCGCAAATACACACTCACCGAGCTCTTTTTACCCTGAGACCGCCGCTTGCGCTTCTTGATGCGGGGTGTGGGGGCGTCATCCTTTAAAGTCGCACCTGCGGTCGCCACATCGGTGCCGGCGGTCACATCATCGCCGCCGCCAGTGTCGGCGACGGACGCGTTGTCACTCAGCTCGCAGCTGATCCAGCTGGCTGCCAATACAGACGAGCCCGCCGTCGAAGACGAAGAAGTGGCGGCCGTGTTCGGGTTCTCCGGCATTGGAGGTGCCATTCGCATTTTGTTCAGCACATCCTCCACGATGTCGGCCGTCTCTCGCTTGGTGTGTATGAAGCTGCAGCGTGCGCCGAAGCTGCAGAAGCCCTAGGAGGACAAAGAAAAAGAATTTGTGGCATGGCGAACCATTCGAAGCCTCTCCCCAGGAAGCTTTTGACACTAAAGAGCGCTCTCTAATTGACACGGGACTTTGGTGCTCCTCTAAGATATCGGAGCTTCTCTACAGCCAAACTAGGAAGGGCCCGAAGCCATAAAACTGAATCCCCCCCCCCCCCCCCCCAAAAAAAAATAAACATTTAAATTTTGGCAAACATGGATATCGTCATTGTTTTAATGAAGGGTGTACATAACAGAAGACGAGCCCTGAAGCGAAGACAATCCCGTAAGGCTCGTCCATACTGTCACACCATTTTACTTACGTATAGGACAATGCACAGTCTGGAAGAGGGCCGCACGAAGAGCTAAATGCCACGATGAGAAGGAAGATGAAGAGTGCTCTTAGACTACCATACTGCACGCGCACTTGTCGACTCCTGCACTTGGGTATTGAGAATACTCTAGAAGAAATTGCGGGAGCTTAAGAGAGAGCGCAGATTCTCAGACTCTCCAGCACCAGGGCGCGTGGACAACTAATAGACATGGACGCCTTATCTGCAGAGGTCGCAAACGCCTACCACGACCTTCCGCAAAAGCAGAAAAACATCCTCATCATATCTCCGGCACCATACAATTTGCCTCCCTAGAGCAGCATAGCTGTAAAGAAAGAAAAAAAGAAAAAAAGAAAGAAAAAAGAAAGAAAAGAAAGAGAAAAGAAAGAAAGAAGAAAGCAAAAAGAAAAAAACAAAGAAAAACAGAAAAAAAGAAGGAAAAATAAAGAAAAGAGAAAGAAAAAAAAGAAAGAAAAGAGAAAGAAAAAAGACAGAAAAGAGAAAGAAAAAAGACAGAAAAGAGAAAGAAAAAAGAAAGAAAAAAGAAAGAAAAAAGAAAGAAAAGAGAAAGAAAAGGGAAAGAAAAAAAAGAAAGGAAAAAAAAAGAAAGAAAAAAAAGAAAGAAAGAAAAAAAGAAAGAAAAAGGAAAGAGAAAAGAAAGAAAGAAAAACAGAGAAAAAAAAGAAAGAAAAAAGAAAGAAAAGAGAAAGAAGAAAAGAAAGAAAAAAGAAAGTAAAAAAGAAAAGAAAGAAAAACAGAAAAGGGAAGAAAAAAAAACAAAGAAAAAAAGAAGAAAAGAAAGAAAGAAAAAAAGAAGGAAAGAAAGAAAGAAGGAAAGAAAGAAAGAGAGAAAGAAAGAAAGGCCAGGGCCATGACACTCGTACTGTGGGCGGCAGAACTTGCTGGCAGAACGGCTTCGTCGACGTGGACCAGCATGGCAACCGCAATAGTTGTGCACCAGTGCCGATCGACCACAGTGGCTCGACCATGAACGCCGCTTCAGTAGAATGGTTGTCTTTTCATGTGCGGTCGAGCGAGTGACCATTGCCTTTGCCCTTCTGAACGACATGGCAATAGTTTGAGAGGCTCCAGGGCAGACAACCGTGCCTTCAGTGTTGGCGCCACGTGTAAGATACTGCGTCACATCCACGACGACAAAGCATCATCACCCACACTCTCACGTGGTTTCCCCGCTCATGTGGAACTCATCATGAGAGGCACAACAAACCTAAACGAGGCGGCCCACTCCTAGGCGCAAGCTTTCTCTCTCCCCGACCACAGAAGACTCCCCCGCCAGCGTGCTGTTCTGAACAGATCATCTACCACTTATAAGGAGATCACGCAGTGCGTTTATGCCAGCACAGGAGTTTTTCCTCTTTCTTGGAAGTTAAATAGAGCGCACACATAATTCTCAAGTTATTGTGGTTGGCTTCGTATCCCAGCCGGGATTTATTACGCAAAGCCTATCCCGACGCTGATTGCAATAGCTCCGGATACTGCAACGATTTCGCTAGCCCCGTACATATCCTCTGGTGCTGCCTCTCGTTACGAGGCAAGAACCAACTGAGCGAAGACACGTTGCTATCCGCTTTCAAGAGTCCGATGTCCACGCTATACTACGAGCCGTAAAAGGGGCCCATGATGCTGCGGCTGGGCTTGACCTAACCTACAGGGATCCCGGACTAGATATCTCTCCTATAGTGTTTGAAGGGCGGACCCTTCAGACTCACGCCAGCCATAGCTCTCACTGTAAGTAAATTAATAAATGTTTTTCCACCACCACCAACATTGCTGAGTCGTGCACCGAAGGACTATCAATAAACATTTGCATTCATCTACTCATTAGCCATTCGACTCCGTGAAGGTGGCTGGCCAGTTCAGTTTTTTTTTTAGTTCACGCCACAGACCACAGAGACTTCGCAACATCTGTAGGCTTTAATTCAGCACACAATGTGTGAATGCCAACTTATAAAGACCAAGCTTACACTGATCACCCTAAAATTGGCTTGGCTTCTAAACACAAACGTATTGAAGGAAGAGACCTCTACTGAGCAATATAAGTCATTTAAAATAAAGAAAGGCCTTGTGAAGCATTTGCTATTTCATTTATTTCTGTTGGTGTGACAAAAGTTAACTAGTCACATGGAGCTTCATTGTAAAAGCAAAGCTTGCATCATTGAAGCGAATCTGTTGAGATACAAGCACCAGTAGGCGTGATTCGCAAGATCTGAACTATACATCCCGAAATTTCTCCGAACGTGTCCAGAGCAGCTCTTTCACCAGTGTGAATGAATAGCGCAATATCTCCATTGAAATTTTGCTTATTTCCTTGAACTACTTTGCTAAAACAAAATTTAAACATTTCCGATTAAACTACTTACGTTGACTTAGTGCTGTTAACGTTGCTTGTACAGAAAATGGGCCATGACATTCGAAACTTCATTCTAAAAGCTGGAACATAAAGATGATTGTCAAGACTGCTTGAGAGACAATGTGCGTTCCTGTGAAGCACCTGAAGGACGTTCAACGGCTGCGTTTTTCCTGTGGCAACATACCATAGCAATATAGCCGGTTTCAAGATTAGAAGCGTTCTTCCCAAAAAAACAAAAACTTCTGGTCACTTCAATCAACAGCACGTAACGCCGAAACTGAAAGTGCGTTTTCACGTTTCTTCAAGGAAAAGGATAGTCTCTTAATACTTTTTCAGATGAAAAGAACGTGCATAATGTTCAAGGCAATCTTTTGCAGTTTTTATGTAGCTCAAAAGAGCATTTATTTGAATATATTTTGCCAACTAAGGGAGGCGAAGTGTAGAAAAGCAGCGAGCTATTTTCTAACGCTCTTCTGGCCCACTGATGCTATTGAGGTACATCAGTAAACGAAACCGGATGTCATCAAGGGCCTGGGTTCGTAAACACTTGAAAGGGTCTATATTTAAAGTCGCTCACACAACAATACAGCATGTTCAAACGTCTGGCTCTCAATCATTTTTTGTGTGGTTCATTGCTCAGTTCTGCGAAGATACATCCCATCGGATCAGGTTATACCCAAGCTTTGCTGATGACTTACTGTTAAAGTGCAATGAAAGCCCGATTGTTTGGCTTGTTTCCATTTTATGGCGGTGGGCGCTGCGTAGAAAGGGCGCAAACACGCACTTATCGCAAAATCATAGGCCCGATTTGAACCGTATATATGGCACGCATGTATGAAGGCTGGCAGCTCCCTATTCAAATTGCAAAAGTACAAAAGTTTTTTTCATCCCTCTGTCCATCCATTCAGTATTATCCGCCTTTGTTGCCACAAATTACGAAGGGTAATGAAATAAATTCCTGAGAAGTACAACGCCTTTAGCAGGGGAGCACATGTTTGTAGGGGGGTGCTGGAAGAAACTGTGGTACCATGAAACAGTGCATGTGAGCCTACACTACAGTTTAAGCTGCAAGGTTAGTACCGGGATAAAGTCAAAGTGATCCCTCACGGGAAACCCGAGTACATGAATATGACATGGCTTGAAAGGCATTGGATTGCTCTAGGAAGTGGTTTTATTGCTATAACAGTTTTGCGGTCGACGTGCCCCTTCTATTTGTCTCGCCGGTATGTGCCACTGGGCGCCTACCCGGTGCCACATACACATGTTGAACGAGCAGTCAACAATACAGGTGCGTTGCTTGTCGACAGTGCTAATTTATGGCTCTGTAGTATAGTTCATTCTTTCATAAACTTTTTTTTCCCGAGTACAAGGTAGCCAAGCGGAGATTTCATCTCGTTAGCCTCCCTGTTTCCTTCACATTACCCTCTTTCTTTCTACGTCTATGTATAGCAATGTTGACAATATATTTATAGATACATAGGTTGTGGTATAAAGAAGATGTAAGAGCCAGGGTTGTCTCGCCCTTGCTTTTTAGGAAGAAATTGCTTCACTCCGGGGTGCACCACGGCTCTACTTTGCTATCTGAGAATATATTTTACAAATTCATAGCCACAGGGAACACGTAAATATATGGTCAGATAGCGAGGAAAAAAGCAGAAAAAGTTCCGTCACCAAGAGTTGATCTAACGACCTCTCGCTCTGCAGCGCGAACTGACAAGGCCGCGTAGCACCGATTTTTCAACTTGCTATACAATATGATGTACAGCTCTAATAACTGATATACAACTTGATTTAGAGCTATACAACTTGGTTCAACTTGATATACATTATTTACCACTGGCGGTAATCACGCGAAAGCTTTAAAGAGCTCATTTCGCAAAAATTTTGGCGTTGGCGTTATTGTTTGTGAGCAAAAAATCTTTTTCGTGGGACCGATGAATCGAGAATGATGTAAATATGACAAATAAACGAAAAATCCTGGAGCAGAGTGGGGACCAAGCCGCGATTGTTTAGGTTCAAGTGCGGATGTAGCCTTGGTCTTGCGAGGGAAACAGGTTCTACAACACGTCATCGCGTCTGCTCGTGAATACATTGAAATTAACTTTCTCTGCTTGAAAACACAGTGAAAGCAACTTTCACGCTTTACAAACACACGCGTCTTGTATACATGCTTCACAATGCAACTTTAAATATTGCAGTAATAATGCGTGGCTCAAGCGTTCATTGCCAACGGGTGTCCGAATATGTGATTATCAAATTCGCTCCGTGGTTGAAAGCCGGCACCCCATTACAAAAGAAGCACACGCTACTGCGCATATTCCCTTAAGGCCACGTATAGTGGGTGCATAGAAAATTCGAAAAGGTTAACAGGATTTCGCTATCGCGTTCAAATCCTAAAGGCGAAGCTTTAGGGTCCCCTATTTTTTTTAGAGATCAGTGACTACAGCATGGCCTTGTTACCACTGGTGATATTTAAGCTCGTCAACTCGAGAATTGTGATGCACATATGAGCCTCAACAGGGCGTGGTAACTTGTTCTTCCGCGCTTATGACGTGATCACGGTGGTTTGTGCGTCTGTAGTACTTTCACCGCATCTGTGCGTTGAACTTGGAGAGCACCAAGGCCACTTTGCTCGCTGAAACGGCTGTGCTGTAAAAGAAGCACGTTACTTGCACGAAATTCACAATTGTGAAAGTTGTTCGCGCTCGCCCTGTCTATTCTAATGCGTTCATTTCATGCGTCAGTATTCGCGACGGAGAAGTCAAGTGTCGAGCTGTGATAGTTGATCGTTTGCTCTCCTCTGCGTATGTTCGTTTTGTGCGTCCTTTCTGCTTGAGAACATCGGTACAACTTTCGAGTAGGTTGGCGTTGTTCGCAACACATATTAAATTGTCGCTATAACATTCATTCCTTCGCCTTTGAGAAATAATGCACAATAAACGGTCAGCTACCTTTCTGGGGACACTTTTTCTTATGTTATACCAATTGCTTTCACAGAGGGATCAGTTATGCTTTTTAAGGCTCACAGGGGAGCAAACTTGGCTCTCAAACACTCATTATGAAAAATTCATGCAAGAGGTCATGTCTCTGACTAAGAGCCCGATTGGCCCACAAGTAAACCGTATTAAGTGGTGTTAAAGACCTCATAGTCGAAATCAAGAAGAAATGGTCAAGGGCAGGGCACGCAGCTTGAAAGGAAGATAACCGCTGGTCATTAAAATTCAAAGACTTGATTGCAAGAGAAGGCAGGCGGATGACCTGTAGTCAGAAAGTTGGGTGGGCAGATTAGATGAAGTTCACGGGTATAAAGTGTCAACTGACGCAAGCTCAGAACCGAGTAAACTGGCGCATATGGGAGAGGTCTGTCCTGCAGTGGGCGTAGTCAAGCTGATGATGATAACGAAGAAGCCTAAATGATGGTCAGAGAAAAAGTGCCAGTTCGCTGCTTATGTAGACTTTCTCGTTCGTTGAGTTCGAAGTCCTCCAAAAACCAGCTAACGTGAAGGTTATTGGCTGTACTTCTAGTACATAAAGTTGCGACCACCGTGCGTGCACGAGTTTCAGGCCCCGAAAGTAGAGATACTTCCTCTCTCGCTACCCCCTCTCTCACCATTTTTATGCGGCACCCTGCCCACATCTGGCCATCATAGTTGAAGCGGTGGCAAGAACCAAACTACCGTAGAGAGCGTGCTGCTCCCCACCAAATTTTCGGTTTCTTGAAAGACCACACCCCATGCGAAAACTGCCGAAATTCAAAATTACAACTGTATTCCGAAACACGGACATTCCACGCGAGTGACACATTCACAAGAACGTCATTCAGTTTTCTGGAAATAATTGGCATTGTTCTCCGGTAGTTATCATTAATTCGTATTGTGTTTATTTTCCGACCATACGAGTGAAGCTGGTTTTATACGGTTTCATTTATTTTAATTATTTGCGGCACTTCGCGTCGCAAAAAAACTTGATCATGTAAGACGCCTTTGTGGATGAAAATTTTGACCACCTGGGGTTTTTTCTGGTGCACTCGGATATATCTAAGCGCATGGGCATGTAGCATCCTACTTCCTATTATTATAATAGTTGGCTGCTATTTATGAAATGTGTATTTAAAAGGCTCTAATATGGGAGAAAGTTGTTTTAGTCAATAGCTGTACTAATTGTCCGAATATAGCTGGCAGTATAATGGAATTGCTATGAGCGAAACAAAACAATGCTAGTCGTGGAATATCATCATCATCATCAACAACATCATCATCATCATCAACATGCCTGACTGCGGCCACTGCTGGACAGAGGCCTCTCCCATGTTTCGCCAGTTAACTCGGTCCTGGGCTTGCTGCTGCAAATTTATACCCGCAAACTTTCTAATCTCATCTGCCCTCCTAACCTGTCTCCCCCTAACCCTCTTGCCTTCTCTGCGAATCCAGTTACCCTTAATGGCCAGTGGTTATCCTCTCTACGCGCCAGTCGTGGAATAAAACAACGTTAATGAACACGCCATCCGCGCTTTGCACCGACCCCTTCGTGGAAGTCCTTGCAGAGCTGCGACCGGTGCTTGGGGTGGCGCGGCAAGGGCCGCAGCTCGGCGGCGCTGTGCGCGTACACGCAGCCGGCGCCGAAGCTACAGAAGCCCTGCTCCTCCAGGTGATGACACATCTCAGTCTTGTAGCGGCTCGAGAACACCGTCGACCACCAGGGTGGACTGGGCACCGGCCTGGCATCGTGCGGGTCTCGGTTGATCATCACCTGCTTCGCCACTTGTCGCATGAGCGACACATGGCGGCGCTGCACGAGAACAACCGGGGCCACGACAGAGTTAAGAGGCAAACTTGGGTACGTGGGTGAGGGGCGTGAAGTGCAGCACGTTACGCAACACGAACAGTACTAAAATACTTTACAAATAATGCCAACAGCTGAAATGTCATTGTTTTGCCTAGTTCACACGCACGTCTACGGTAACAAAGCATCGTGTCTCCTCTACATGTCATGGCTGTTACAAAACCTCAGCTTTTCATACATCCAGCGTAACTGCGCTTATCACATGTGCACTTCCGCAAGCAATCGGCATGTAATAATCTTCATTACGATATCTCCTCAAACACAAACGCAATTTGACACGATCTTGAGGGGCACTTTCCTAAAAATGCAGTGTCATAAGGTTGTTTTATCGCTTACCCTTTCAGCTTTGTATTTTCGCAAAGTGTTTCTCCTTTTTTTAATTACCCTGCTATGTATCTGCTCATATATATGATGTTGAAACTTGCTGATATACGGCATTAGTAATTTTCTTGCGCTGTATTTTTTTTACTCAATTGTACTCTAACACCAGTTTTCACAACTTCACTTTTGATTTCTTGGTAAGCCCCCCATACTGTACACCTTTGTGTCCGAGAGATATATCCAACAAGCAAATAGAATAACCTTATTAAATGGAGCAGATAGCTTGGCACCGGGAAAAATTAAGAGTATTTTTATTCAAAGGTAGCGTACTACTTCTGATGCAAATAGAAAATAGACGTACTAAACAATGCCCTTTTCATCACTGGAACTCAAAGGCAGTGTGTTTAAGGGGCAATGACCTTTGAGTCTGACCAACTGAAATACGGATGTTCATCTATTTCATTTCAAAGTAGGATTAGTAAATTGTAGCTAAAGACAGCTGCTGTAGTTTATACCAGGCCTAATTGTGTGTTCGATTAATTTAGTTGTGTACGACATAAAATGAACTTCCAGGGAAGAAAACGTGCTCTTCTTTCGCTAACACACAGTAACACATTGCAACATGCTTGCCTGAACTGGGACTTCAGAGGAGCGTAGACCAAAATTTTCAACAATAATTTTCTTCCATGTGACAGGCTGGTTAGCGGGAACTCATGGTCAGAGATTTGAATACTGCACATTTTAGATTGAAAAAGTGTTTTTGAAAATTCCCGCCAAGAGGTGGAAAATCAGCGAGTGACTACGGGGATAGGTATTGCGTGACGTTGGCTTTTTGTGGAGTAGGAAAAAGGAGACGATGGTTGTGGTTTGGCATTCGGGGACATTTTATTGAAATGAGAAAAATAAGCTATTTTCCACCATTCTGCGCAGCAGTACAGCTGCTGACGTCGCTACGTCTGCAGTAGATTTGCGGAGTCTAGCATACTTAAAACAAGAATATGGCTGCCTTCCAAGATTTTAAAGAAGGACGGAAAGTTTCCAGATTTGCCACGCACATCTTCAACGTCCCACCTCTTGTGGCCATGTTCTTCCGTTCTTTGTGATGATTGTCGTGACGAGTTTGGCAAAGGATCCACACTCCTTTCCTAAACTAAAAATTAGAAAGTTACTTTCAAGCAGTATGTTCTCTATGAAATTGGCCATAGCATTTCTTGCTACCCTCCTTTCAGCATAAGACCGACGCTTCTAAAACGTTTTCAAGTAAATTTCTGAAGGTGGTACAATGCAATGCCCTACGAAGATGCTGGCGTAACAGTAGTGGTGGCTGATGCATATGCAGATTCCTGCAATTATTGCTAGTGGCACCTTTCATTTTGTTATTTCGCAGCGATTTATCATAAAGCACGAAAGATCGGCCCTTCACTATAGCAAAAGTCTTGGGAGCCTGGTCTCACAACACAGACGCCCAGAAAGCCACACGAGACCCGCTTGCAGTTTTCGACCCGCCATGGTGTTCTAGTGGCTAAGGCACATGACTGCTGACCCGCTGCTCGCGGGATCAAACCCGGGCCGTGGTGGCCGCACTTTTGATGGGGGGCGAAAATGTTCGAGGCCCGTGTGCTTAGATTTAAGCGCATATAGAACCCTGGGGGGTCGAAACTTCCGGAGCCCTTCACTACGGCACCTCTCACATATAATGGTCGTTGTGGGAAGTTAACCCCTTATATATATCATTGTTACTGCAGTATTTGCACAGAACGGCATTCTACCACCTGGGAAATTCTTTATTCTATGTGTGTCTGTTCTTCAATGTCCCTCTCTTTCGTTTACTTTTGACTCTCTCATACCCTCTACTGGGCTTAAAGTAGTAAACCCTTCTACCTCTTATACTCTCTCCCTTGTTCACAGGATGACATATGCTATAACACTGCCCAAACTTTCTGTATGTTCTCACAGACGTAACAAGCCAGCTTGCACCGTGGTAAAATAGTCACACTTAAAAATTTACACTCACAAAAGTAGCATACAAATACTTCTAAGGAATGCTTTCAATGTGCCAGATTTTGTCATATGTTAAGAATATGAGTATGCTTTCATCAAAACTTTCTAAATTTTTGATCAGAACATCAGCTGCATTATTTTATTGAGCCATCGTAACACCATAACACTTTTTCTGTTTTTCAGCTTTTTTGGTGTAGAAAGTTGTTTTAGAGTAACTTATGACAAGTCTTTATTTCAAGGAATGCGGCAGTCATTCCTGAATGATCATTTTGTAATCATGTATGGAGCATATTACGAAGGATATCAATTCACGGGAAATCGTTGAAGTCATTATAGGAACTTTACACTGTAGTAAGAAAGTTCATTGTTTCAGAAAATCATGTGACTCAAGCAGCGTCCGCTTCATTAGTTTTGCAGCCTAATATTAGATTATTGCAAGTGGAGCCGGAGGCTCACACGAATGTTTAAGAAAGCGCATAGTGTGGACGTTTGCATGCATTAATTATGTAAGATAGTAACACTCCCGCGTTGGTCATGCTTAAACCGAAAAAAATGGAATGGCTACAAGGTCAAGGCTCATGAAACGAATTCGGTATGGCTTTACGATTGCTCAAAGGCGTGCGTTGACAGTGCCTTATTCGCAGTGAACAATATTTCAAAATACAACTCTTGTATTGCACTTAATAGTTTGTCAGTATCGCGCAAAATATTTTACTCGCTTTGCGTGACATCCTTTGCCTTGTCAGTGCTATTCAACAACAAGCAACTGGCCCTTCTTCAAATCTTACCGCGCAATGTTTCTCACGCATGTTTATGAATGACAAAACAACAAAGCTCGCATATGAAGGCTTGCACTTACCAAATCTTTCTTTGGGCGGGGGCGCTTCTCTGGAATACCCATTGTGTGGGCTAAATGGAGCAAAAAAAGTGGTCAGGTTAGTACACAGAATAGCTTCCAAATTGTGCGAGCGAACCAAACAAGTATGAAGATGATGGAGGTTGTTTCTGCTGCGAAGGCCAAGCAATAATGCGAAAGCAACACACTTGAATGTTGCTCAAAGTAAAGCTAGCAGCTCACTACCTTAGCATGAGACTTCATTAAAACTCAAAAACGCTTGAGTAAAGTAAAAGAAGCCACTGCAGTGATAGAAGCGTCCTTCGTGCGGTCTATGGCTTCGCTGTAAACTTTGCTAGGAGAACAACTCGTGCAAAGGTATAAGCCATCAGCTGATTTTTTTTTTTTTTAAAGACATGCCACACGCGATCGCAGGTTGTTACCAAGCCTGGCTGGTGAAAGTTCAGCAGCAGTGAAGCAGCTATCTGCTCTGGCACCCCTTTATGCGCTTTCCGCGTGGTAAACGGCGGCCGTCGCGTTTCCTCGACGCTTCAGTTGCAAATGCCGGCAGCAGTAATACATTGAGTCCAGTCAAGCTTTCACACACACACACACACAGCACGGTTAATTGTGCAACTTTATTCATGTGGACTTCATCCGAACCTCATGGTGAGTGCAACAGCAAGAACGTACTTGGACTGCGGAACTGCATAGCAAAGGAAGTGCAACGTAATAAAGCTTCATGAACTTTCAAACGTGTAGTACAACGTGGCGCATGTCTCCGAAAACAATGGTCGAATAAAGCTATTCATTGATATGTGGGGTTTAACATCTCTAAGCCACCATATCATCATGAGGTACGCCATAGTGGATGAGTCCGAAATTTTCGACCACCCGGTGCTCTTTAACGCGCACCCAAATCTGAACACACGAGACACCAGCATTTTCGCCTCCAGCAAGAATACAACCGCCACAGCCGGAATTCGGTGCCACGACCTGCGGGTCAGCCACCGAGTACTTTAGCCACTAGACCACCCCAACGGGTCGGTTGAATAAAGCTACTTCCCCCTCACATATTAAACAGGGAATGACATAGCCATAGCTTATAATTTTTTTCCAATTAACTAACGATGAAAAGGCATAGTTGATTTTTTTAAATTAATTCACTACGAAAAAGCATAAATGATTACTTTTGTCAACTCACGATGAATCATCCGCCACCATAGCCACTGATCGATGAAACCTTATCGATGGGAGTTTTAGGAGGGAAGGTCCTTAGGCAGTAGGTCGTTCCCTGCTCCATATATGTCGTGTAACTCTAGGCTACAATTTGCTTATTAGATGGCGTTGTGCGTATATTTACTTGGGAATAGTATAACAAGATGGCGTTAGTGGTTTTTACAGCACAACTCCGGAGTGAATGATGATGAGTGGGGCGAAGCATCCGATCGCTTGTCCGTGTGTCCACCCGTCCATGCGTTCTGACGAACGGGGGGTCAGACAGAGGCACGGATGAACGGAGTGACAGACAGACAGACAGACAGACAGACAGACAGACAGAAGCATGTACGCACGGATGTGTGGACGAACGAAAGCATGGACGAACGGAGAGACGGAAGCACGAATGAACGGACGGTTGGAGAGAAGCACGGACGATTGGACGCAATGATGGACAGACGAATGCTTCGATACTTATCACTCACTCTGAGTATGCTACGATTTTTTTTTCGCTTCATGCTGTGCTTTGGTTTTGTCAAATTTGAAGGAAAGAACAAACCGTTTTTCACTTCACGACCTGATTTGAAGTGGCAAGCCTAATTGATTAGGGTGGTGAAGCGTAACTGCCGAAAATCTGCCGATTCTTCGATTGTTTTGTCATGACAAAGCAGCTTCGAGCCACGTGTTGCCGGAACGAATGTATAATACGAAGACTAGGTAAACCGGTGTCATACCCATAATTACCATGCTCACTGAAGCGCCTTGCATAGCAGCTCACATGGACACTAGCGCCCGAGCTCCCCTTTGTGTATATGTAGGAAACTATGGCGTTGACAGTATCATTCGTATCAAGCAAACGTATTTTTTGCGAAGCGACACTCGACAGACTAATGTCTATCCTTAATTATTAACTCATAACATTGCTATCACCATTCTTGCAACGAGAGGGCGCTAGGAAAGTGGAAAAACACGCTTAAAGAAAATGTGGGTGGCAACGCTATCTTGCGATTCCCGCACCCGCCGTCATGACGACAAAAGTTTTGAAGACCTCTACTAGGGCGTACAGCGTTCCTGATCGGTAAAAATGAAGTATGTTGCCGTTTGAGGAAGCCGAAAAATCAAAACGCCAAGTTTCAGGAACTTTACTAACGGTAATGTCCCTGAAGTACGATAGATCCACTTCAAAATCTGTGACGTCAAGCACGGAAAATTTAGGTGCGATATCAAAAACTCAAGCAGCGCAATTTACTGCTACAAGAGACATATCAAGGTGAAATAACGTAAGCGTTTTGATAACAATTTATAAGTGCACACAGATTTATTCTTTTACTTTTGTGTCCATGTGATGCCAAAGCCCGCTTTCGATTTCTTTATTATTTTATTCTTTATTACTTTATTCAATGATTACCCCGCTTAGCCTGAAGGCGCTGCAGCACAGGGGTTACAATGTTGAGAAAAACACATTTATTTATACAGCACACTCGTTCATTAAATAGGTGATTCCATTCTCTAATCAAACGAACCAAAACAAATTAGCATGCAAATTAGATCTGGTACAGTACTCTACAATAATCATTTCGCGAAGAAATATAACGAGTACTGTGAAAGGTAGTTTTCTTTTCGATTGATAGATTGATGTATATGTGGGGTTTGACGTCCTAAAACCACCATATGATTATGACAGACGCCGCAGTGGAGGGCTCCGGAAATTTTGACCACCTGGGGTTCTTTACCATGCACCCAAATCTGAGCACACGGGCCTACAGCATTTGCGCCTCCATCGGAAATGCTGCCACCACAGCCGGAATTCGATCCCGCAACCTGCGGTTCAACAACCAATTTTGTTTTCTTTTAGAATGCCGGTTTTACCATGAAATATTGGGTACAAAAGCTTTAGGCGTGGTTTGTTTCGACGTGACGACAGTAATTGTCATCCTAAGGTGGTACAGCGCAACTGCCGAACATCTACCGTTTGTTCTTTTGTGGCAAAGCAGCTTCGAGCCACGCGAAGCCAGAACGAACTTATAGTATGAAGACTATACTAGAAACAACCTACTCACTCATGAGTGTTTTTCTTGATTTTACCAAAGATGGAGAGAAAAAGTATTTCTTCACAAGGCACCCGTGGATGATTCCGCGTAGATAGACATGTGGAGTTTAACGTCCCAAAACCACCATATGATTATGACTGATGCCGTAGTGGAGGGCTCCGGAAATTCGGACTAGCTAGGGTTCTTTAACGTGCAACCGAAATCTGAGCACACGGGCCTACAGTATTGTTCTACAGCATTGCACACGGGCCTACAGCATTGTGCGGCGGCTGCAGTATATACCTCAGCCACTAGACCACCGCGGCGGGGCAACGAATCCATGTTATATGACCATCAAACCAAGGTGGACAGCGACCTTGGTGGTACACTCCACCACCCTTAACTGAACGGCTGGGTCTATTGAAAATTTCGGCTTAAACCTGACCCTTGCTTGGTCAGAAATTGATAGTATTCATTCTAGTGACGCCCTTCCAAACGTCGTAGTGATCTTGTGGACCTTTGTCTAAAAGATCAAAGGAAAACTTAATTTATTCTTTACAGTACTCATATTGTTTTGATTCCAAGCTTCCTGGACAAGCGTCTGAACTCTGCTTTATAACCAGGCCAAGATGGGAGGCTTCTGCACCACTTTAGCTAGGTACGCCGGTTTCCAGTTTGCTCTATGGTGTATTCATTATCTTTTGTTCACACCGACCTAAAACCGTCCCAAGGTACGGCTTTTAGCTCTCTTACAGTAGATAACCAAACAAATTCGTTAACCACTTTTTAGGGGCGAAGCTCCTTATAGCGGCACCCATTCATAGTATGTAGCGGCACCCGTTCATAGCCGTTGTGGTATGTAACAAGTATAACATTTTGACCTCCGAGGTGCTGCCGGTGAGAGATTTCTGCTGCGAGTTATTTATTTATTTATTTATTTATTTCAAAATACTGCCAATCCCTCAAAGGGATTATTACAGGGGTGGGAGTTGATTTATACATGAATGTACAGAAGTAATGCGGAGAGCATATTATGCGCTCTGTAATAAATAGACATATACACGTATAAACGAAATGACACACTCTAAATTACACACAGCAAGAGATTAAAACAAGCATACTACATCCATATCACAATAACAATAACCAGAGTGACATGTGTCTGTGTCACACAGCTCTCTCCACGAGTTCAGAGAATAATTCTAGCGTAGGCTGAGTAACAGTAATTTCATCTAAGGCATTCCAGTCTCTTACAACTCGTGGAAAAAAAGAGAAGCGAAATACATTATTAGTAGGACGAAATTCTTCTAACGTGAATTTGTGTTTGTGTCGCGTTTCTCTGGCAGAGCTGTATGTAACAAATGACCTGGGGTTGATCTTAAAATTATTTTTTAACAACAAATATAGGAATTTCAATCTGTGCACTCTCGCTCGGTTAGACAAGGTAGTGAGACCAGCCTGCCGAAGAAGTTCTGATGGGGAATCGCTACGCCTGTAGCGATTGAAAATAAACGGACAGCTTTCCTTTGAACGCGCTCAAGCGCAGCGATGTTGTATTTAGTGTGTGGAAACCACGTAATACTGGCGTATTCCAATGTCGGTCGGATAAGACTGGTGTAGGCAAGAGAACGTGTTTCAAAGGTAGATCCGGCAAGCGATCGTTTGAGAAAGAACAATTTATTCATTGCTTTTTTAGAGATTTGCTGCACATGCGCATTCCAGCTTAGGTCACTGCTTATCGTTACACCCAGATATTTGTACTGTGAAACGTTTCGTAGTGTACTGTGAAACGTTTCGAGTTGTTTAACAATAAAAAATAGTGCTCA